CGGGCAGTGCGCCCTGTCTGCCAGCCTTGACTCCACCCTGCGCCTGCTGGACAAGGAGACGGGGGAGCTGCTGGGCGAGTACGAGCCCCCTCCCTGCAGCCCCATGCACCCTTGGGGGGGAGGACACCCCCGCCTCACACGTGTCCACCCTGCAGGTACACGGGCCACTGCAGCACAGCATACCGGCTGGACTGCGTGCTAAGCGAGCAGGACACTCACGTCGGCAGCGCCTCCGAGGACGGCAACGTCTACTTCTGGGACCTGGTGGAGGTGAGTGGGGAAGGGGGTGGGGGTCCTGGGGGAGCCCCCCACCCTTCTCACACCCCACTTCTGCCCCCCTCAGGGCTCACTGGCCGTCAGCCTGGCCGTGGGCCATGGCGTGGTGCAGTCGCTCACCTTCCACCCCACCCTGCCCTGCCTGCTCGCCGCCACCCAGGGCCAGGTCCAGCTCTGGCGTGAGGAGACCTTCCAGCCCGAGGCGGGGGACACCGCTGCCGCCATGTGACATGGGGTTTTTGGGGGCGGGAGGCAGCTGGGGTGCCCATCTGTCCCCTCCTGGTACCAAGGAATAAACCCACAGTGTGGAGGAGCTGCAGTGCTTTATTGGGAGCCACAAGGACCCCGAGAGCTCAAATAAATACAGGCACTGGGGAGGGGGGAACAGGCAGCCAGTGGGGCAGGCACTGGGGACAGACGGAAGGTGACAGACGGACGGGTGGACGGTGGTGCAGGGGTCCCAGCTCCCCCATTGCCCGGTCGGGGGGAATCACCCCGCTCTCTCCTGCTCTGTTCACACCGGTGCCGAGGGCGTGAGGTGCGGAGACTGGGGACGCTGAGGTGGGAGTCCCTGTAGAGGTACCGGGGGCTCAGCCCTCCCCAAACTGGGGGCTCTGCCCTCCCGAGGTGGGGGACTCACCCCCCCAGGGACACCCCGCCATCATCTCAGTCTCCCGGTGTCTCCGAGGGAAAGGCGTCAGCTCTCTGGGCGAATGTCTCCGCCACCAGCAGCGGAAAGACCAGGGAGGCGTCGGCATAGACCTGGGCACAGGAGAAGTGTAAGGGTGGGGGAGCCCCCCAGGCACCCCAAACTTCCCCCCCCTGCCCCCAGGACCCCTGTCCCACCTTGACAGGAGTGGCATCCATCCGGATCTTGCCCCAGGACACGGCCTCATCCGGCCGCGCCCCCGAATCGGAGCCGTCGAACTCCTGCGCCGTGTTGACGTAGACGGAGAAGTCAGCGCCGTTCCTCTGCGGGGCAAGGAGCAGGCTAAGCCCCCACGCCCCCTCCCCATCCCTGGGGGGTGCCCCGCACCCCCTCCCCATCCCCCAGGACACCGCAGGGGAGCCCCTTTGTCCCCTCGCTCACCATGAGGTTGGCGTTGGCGATGTGGTGCTTCACCAGCCCCCCGCCCAGGATGATCATCCCCGTCTTCCTCGCGAAGATGGCCTGGGTGTTGATGAGGCGCAGGTCTGCGGGCAGAGATGGCTGTCAGGGACCTCGCCGTCCCGGATGGGACCCCGGTGTCCATGGTGGGGGGACCCCGGCGCAGGGGAACACGCTCACCCTCCACGATATCCAGCACCAGCCCCGGGCGCTTGTAGGAGTGGAAGAAGATCATGTCCCCCAGGGAGCCGTCGGTGAGCGCCGGGCTCAGCACCGGGATGTTATTCTAGAAAGGGGACACGGTGCCAGACAGTGACACCCCCACGGCGGAGCAGCGATGCCCGCAGTGATCGCGTCCCTCCTCCCCGTCCCCACCTACCTTCTGCGCCCAGTAGCAAACCGACTCAGGGTTGTTGATCTCCTTGCCCAACCGTGCGATCATCCTGGAGGGGGTCCACCTCGCACCCTGCCAGACCACCGAGCTCAGCCCCAGCCAGGGAGGACCCAGGTGTCTGAACCACCCCCCCGTCCATGGAACTGAGGAGCACCCAGGGGTCCGGGCCGGCCACCCCCCACCTGCGTTTCTTGCTCGTCCACCATCTGCTCCAGGATGGGCATCAGCCAGTCCTCGAACTTGCAGTAGTTGTCGTTGGGCACCAACAAGTTCCCGATCCTGGGGAGGGGAGAGGCTCAGCCCAGGAGGGGACCCCCGGGGATGGGGAGGGGACCCCAGCGCCCTGTACCTGTTGATGCCGCTCTGGCGCAGGTCCCGGCCTCGCAGGCTGAAGTCCCCGATGTAGGTGGGCGCCAGGCACTTGATGAGATCCTCCTCCACGCCCCCTGCCGTGGTCACCAGCACATCCACCTGCCCCCCGGCACAGAGATGGGCGTCAGGAACTCGGGGACCCCCTGGGACACCCCAGGGGACCCTACGGCAACCTGAGGGACACCTTGGGGACAGTGCTGGGCCCCTGGGAACTTCCAGGACACCCCAGAGAGCGAACTGGGAATACTGGGGACCCTAAAGGTCCCTCAGGGACCAAGCTGGGATCCCCCTGGCTCTCACCCGAGGGACACCTTAGGGACACCCGAAGGACCCGAGGGCTCCCCTCAGGGACTCTGGCAATGGCCGCGGGGCAGGGGGGG